GACACTTGTACAACCATGTTTGTTGCTGCTCTTTTTACAACAGCTAAGAGATGAAAGCAACCTAAGTGTCCTTCAACTGATATGTGGTATATTTACACAATGGAGTTCTACTCAGTAGTAAAGATGAAATAATATAATTTTCAGGTAAATGGATGGATCTAGAAACTGTTATACTAAGTGAAAAACAAAAGACGTTATGTTCTCCCTCATTTGTGGATCCTAGCACCAAATCCTTGTAAGTGAGTGCATAACCTGATGCAACTGCAGGGACCAGGAATATGGAAGGGAAACAGGGAGGTAAAGGGAAAGAAGGAACCTGAGAGAGAATAGTAGGATAAAGGTGTTACTAAAGGATAAATATGTAAAAAGGGGGTAGTTGAAAGGGAGGTGGGAGAAGGAGGGCTATACAAAGTACTATGAGAATAAAGGGGAAAAAATTCTCAAGACACACACACACACACACACACACACACACACACACACACAAGCCTTAAGCACAGAAGGAACCATATGGGGATGGAAGAAAGTCCTACCAGAAGCAATATGGTTGTTGAATGAAAATCCCAGTGCCAGAGATGGGTTGCCACCCTATGAGCTGTTAGCCTGAGAGGCCCCAGAGGTTCCCCCAAGCAATAAAGGCCATTGCCAATAATGGTTGTACACTGGAAGTGGACAGAGGGACCCTATTGCTGAAGACACTGCTTGATGTGAACACAGGAGAGGGAGAAGTTAAGCTCGGACTAAGATGGAAACTCCCGGCCACTGGATGGGTGGCTTTCATCGTGCCAGAAGGCGATATGCAGATGACTGGGAGAGAATGGTCCCCTATAATTCTGCTCAACAATGGACACCCTGCTCAACGTGCTGCATTATCAACATGCCAAACAAGATGTTCCTGCTAGTGCAACAGTGGAGCATCTAGTGCATGCACAACCAGAAAATTTTCAATTGGCTATAATGCCCACTCCTAGGGGTGGAACACACATCTGGTACTGTAGACCAGGCCAACCCCCTATGGCAGGGGAGAATACAGGCC